TATATATATGCGCTTTTATCTATTTGCACGGTGTGTGTAGATAGATATAAATCTACAAAGATCTATCTCAACACAGAGGCCTAGGGATGAGACCCATAAACATATTTCCTTAGACTTCTCTTAAGATAGAAGGAGGATCCTGTGATCAAGAATAAAAGTGCCATACAAGTGTCTTTCTTTTAATATTCATTTACTTCTCTAAGTGAGGGGAGGCAAATCAGCAAAACAGGAGAAGCAAAAATTGCCCCACCGAAGTTAATGAACACATCATGAATTTTAGCACATCAGGTCAGACTTACAGCTACAGTCAGCTAACTGAAAAGCAAGCTTACCCGATTTTCATCATAAATAATTTGGACAATACTGCGGTGTTTCTGTTCCACTGGAGGAGGGGAGACAGGCCTCTCTGGCTCTGGAGGCTTAGCAGCTTCTTCTTCAAGTTGTTGCTAAGAGACGAAAGAAAGAAAATCAGCCATCCGCACCATGTTACCCTTACCCATAATTAGTCACCAGAGAGAAAATATGCATCTGATCAACAGTTAGCACTGCCTGTTATTTCTCTTCTTACCTGACAAGGAATGAATGAAACGGTTTTAATGCCAACGCAGACAATAACAGGACTATTTTCTGTACTATTGGTAAACCAAATTAACTGTTTACAAGACTCACCTGCAATGAATCAGACTAATTTCAGCCTGACATTTAAAGCCGCCATCATATTGCAATTTATCGCTATTTAATTTTAAACAAGAATATTAACTTTGGAGAATAATTACACTAAACCTGCCTTCCCACAGAGGAAGTAATCCAGAGATTAATATCTACAATGTAAATATTCAAGTGTCATTATTACTAGTCTTATTTTTTCAAAAGGAACAAAAGTCCTTCTAACAATCCACAAAGAATATAATTCTAAAAGTACTTCACAGCAGAAATAAACCACTCCACATGCATTGACGTTTCAAGATTGTTACAATACCAGACAAGCAAACCAACCTGTAATATTTTCCTAGCTACTACACTGCTGTGATTTACTTTCACACCAAATAAATCTGATTCAGTGACATCTTCATTTTTAACTGTAAATATCCTTCTTCACCCATGCCTGCCACAAACATACAACAAAGAGATTCTGACACTAAGGATCCATCTTGTCTCACAGCACCAGCTGAAATGTGCTATACTGATGCATAAGAATTCAAAATCTCAAAATTTTGTAGAATGCCATAACGAACTGGCTCAATTATTGCAGGCAACAGCAACTCTGTAATTTTTTTAAAGTCAAAGCATAATACAGACATGTACAACTGCACCTTCATAGATGACAGACATAGTACTTGCTGATTTTGTGGAAAAGTGCAAAACAAACAAAAAGACGAGCATCATTAACACACAGCCAGGTACTTAGTGACGTCTTTTTTTGGTGGTTTTTGTTTCTTTGTTGTTGTTTTTCTGTTTTGTTTTGTTTTTTTCCT